CATGGGGACCTGCGAGCCGGTCGAGGGACCCGTGCCGTCCGGCAAAGCGAGGGGGGCGACGGCGGGAGCGGTGCCCGCGGGCCTGGGGCTCACCGGCCGTCCTTCTTGGGCCCCCTCCCCAGTCTCCAGGTTCATGGGGCCGTCGGCGGGCGTGAACGTAGCCGGCATGGGTTCGCTGACCGGCATCGCGGACGCCGCCAAGTCGCTCGCACCACTGCACGCGGCCGCGCCGCGAAGGAAGCGCCGAGTGCTCTTCTCGCAAGCGCAGGTCTACGAGCTGGAGCGGCGCTTCAAGCAGCAGAAGTACCTGTCGGCGCCCGAGCGCGAGCACCTGGCCAGCATGATCCACCTGACGCCCACGCAGGTCAAGATCTGGTTCCAGAACCATCGCTACAAGATGAAGCGACAGGCCAAAGACAAGGCGGCGCAGCAGCTGCAACAGGAGGGCGGCCTGGGCCCCCCGCCGCCTCCGCCGCCACCGTCGCCGCGCCGCGTGGCCGTACCCGTACTAGTGAAGGACGGCAAGCCGTGCCAGAATGGCGCGGGCACCCCGACGCCTGCCCAGGGAGGCCAGCAGCCGCAGGCCCCGACGCCCGGCCCGGAGCTGGAGGAGCTGTCGCCCAGTCCACCCGCGCTGCACGGTCCCGGGGGTGGCTTAGCGGCTCTGGACGCGGCTACGGGGGACTACGGCGGAGGCGTCCTCGGCGCCAACCTGCTCTATGGCAGGACGTGGTGATGAGCCCCGGGGGTCTGCCTGCGACTGGCAGGATCTGCCAAGAAACTGCAAGAACGAATAGGGGAAAATGGACAGAAGCTGAGCCTTTAGTGCATGGAGATCAGGACGAAAGAGTCGCGGAGAGGGTTAGACTGCTTTGAACCTCTTGGCTGGGGGTGGGAGAAGGCTACAGCCCAGGACCGAATAATGTGACACCACACTTGGAGGTGGTGATTTCCCTTCTTTCCGAAGTTCCTAAGTTATGTGAAGAACTGACGGGATCCACATTCACCACGTTCCTAACCAAAGCTCTCAGAGTTTTAGGAGTTGGAAACTTTTGTTGGTGTTTGTATCTCTATAAATCAACCAGCTTTCACGATGAATCCTTGAAGTGGAATTTATTTTGGGAGATTAATTTGCAAAGCCCCTCCCCTAAGTGCAATTTCGTTAATGCTTGATTGAAAGTAAATTGAATTGTAGCCCAGAGTGGATCATATACACAGCAACATGATTGCCGAGGAATTACTGCCATTTGGGTAAAATAAGAGCAATGGAATAAAAAGAATCGAAATACTAATTATATGGATCGTTACTGTTTTTACATTAAATGCTGATTTTAAAATATCATGTTCATTATTAGACAACCAAGTAACTGTATTTTTTTTTCTAGAGGACCACAACCCAACTCCCAAGATGAAGCTCATCATAAAAAGCGTTGTAAAATAATTTTTATATAGAATCTGATCTTTCCAAATTAACTGATAAACATACCATCTCCTTCTATAAACATGATATTTATTCACTTTAAAGTATTTTTGCCTGAATTTGAACTCCTCGACAAAGTACTAAAACAAACAAGTAAAATTGCCATTATTACTTACTATCAGTTTATTTTAAAACATGTCAATAATTGTAATCAAGATATACAAAAAATTAAGATTATACTTTTCCATAATATTTAGAACTTGAGTTGTACCAATTTTATTGTACAAAGAAATGTATTTGCTCTTTAATATGCCAATTTATATTTCCAATACTTCAAATGAATATTTAAATATAACTTTAAAAAATGTACTTTTTTTCTAAAAGTTAAAGGGTCATTTCTTTTTCTTAAGTGGTGTAGGGATTTTCTTTTTCATTTTCCTTTTGGTGGAGTGTGGCAAACACAGCTCATTTATTCAATATTAAAATAATCATAATGGAGGAAATTAAAGCTGACTGAAAAGTGTAAACTTCTAGAGTTAATGGAAGTTAAGTAAAATGGGCAAAACGTACTTTCAAACAATCAAAACAGAGGTCACTAGAGACCCCAAACCTCTCCTGCATTTGAGTTTTTAGAAGAACAAATTTGAGACTGAAACATTCGATTTCCTTTTATGGCTTGAACATTTTTCTGGAAAATTCAAAGTAAATTTATAGGAAAGTACATAGAATCAAGCTTGAACTTTCTCCAAAACGTACTTTATAAAGTAAATCCTCCTTTTAAAAATAAAAACTCTAATTCCTTTTACTGCAAGAAAAGGGAAGGGACTATGAAGCAAAGAGATTGTCTTATCATACCACCAATGTGCATTTTTGGAGGATGAGATTTAATTTTAGAGCATTTCAATAGACAAATTAGTTAAAAAATGGTGTGATAAACATACAGAAAAATTTCCCAGCATGAGTTTCTGTATTATTAGCAGACTGACTTCAGAAGTCAGCGCTAATCTTGCCAGTGAAGCTATTACTGATGTGCTGCAGTTGAGTGCTTTGTTTTCATCAGTTTGACTATATTACCCCTAAAAACATGTTTTAAAAATACACAGTTTGCAAATTTTTTTATTTTTACATATCAACACTTACAAAAACAATAGCTTTATGGTCCATGGGCATCCAGTGATGCCCTTCAGGAAAATAAACCTGTGACAGTTTTTTTTTTCCTAGATAACTTATTTCCAGAACAAAGAGTCCTTTAAATTAAATGAACTCTACTGAAAATAATGTCACCAGGAGCAAACAATCTTTTTCCATTCACCATTTTCTGAAAGTATATTTACTGTAGCCATATCTTTTTCCAGTCAGCGTTCTCTTAAGTAGTAAAAACCCCAAGCTTGAGGTAATTGCTGCAGAGGGCTTAACATTCTACACCCAGAGACTTACTGAGCACATCCTGACATTAGGAAAAGGTTTGATTCCTGAAACATTGAAAGAAATGTTTTTACTATAGAATTCCACTTTCTGATTAATGCAAAGCAAGAGCCTTTTTCTTCTTTTGCAGTTGGTGCTTCACAAATCTTTTATAAAAATACAAACGGCTAGACTAGGTGAAACTCATTAACTGAAGAGGAGGATAAGTGTCTCCACAACCAAGAGGGAGAACTGAAGCAGGGGCTGGGTGGAACAAAGCCCTCTCTAAGTTGAGCAGAGGCCACAGCAAAACCAGGTTTCAGAAATGCTAACTCTGCAGACGTGGCATTTTGCAATACATCTTGGGGTCTAACATCTTTTCCAGCAGAAGCATGGAAACCAAAATGCAGAATGAAAGTTGCAGGGAGTAACGGCAGGGATTGCAGGTACTTCCATGTAATCTTCATTAGGATGTAAATTGAAGTATGAGAGTGTTCAGTTTTGAAGGACACAAGAAGGATGTTTTGTATATGCAAGGGTGAGAGTGTAACCCAGTTGCCCTATTTAAGGCTTTGCTTAGAACCACAATCTAAAGGTCAGAACAAGTAGTTAATCAACACAGATGTGTTCAAACTCCATTCTGCTAGTAGCTGTTTACTTTCAATTTAAAGCAAATCAGAGACTCAATCCTGCTCACTAAATGCACACACCTTCCACAGGCTTGCTTTGTTAACCACAATGAACAATAATGGCTCTAAAAATGAACTTCTGGACCATAATTATATAAAGATGTATAGATTTGATTTTTAGATATCAACTTGTGCATATGAGAAAGTAATGCATTATGTGATGGCAATATAACTTCCAGTTCAGACGCAAAGCAAAGACAATATTCCCCTGCCATTTAATGACACAGTATCGTGGTGAACTCCTGTATGTTACTTGAATTTTTTTTTAATAACACTGTTTTTGCTATCCACAAGCCCAGAGAGACAGAGAACTTGTATACATTTGTAAAACATAAGACACCTTTTTACTGTCAGTGAGAATTGGTGAGAGTATCTGGGGAAATTTCAGAGATCCAGACTAGAGAACCATAGCCACATGTCACCCTCCAGTGAGTATGGAGATTTCTCTGTGATCTCCAGGATGCTTTTTCTAATTTTAATGGTGATGGAACTTTCTGACAGAGGGCTTTTGGTTTTGTTTAGTTTTGCTTTAGAATGTTTATCTGAAATGGAATGAAATGCTGTACCAAAAAAAAAGAATCTGTAACCTCAGTATTTGTTTAGGTAGCTTCTAATAAAAAAATAATCATTAATACTGTATAGGCTTAAAGTGCACAATTTTGCAGCAGTGAATACAAATTAAAGCATGCTGTTCTTTTACCCCAGCTCCATAAACAGAGTATAGAAAAACAGCCACATCTATTGGAATCAATACTCAATGAAGGATACATATTTCAAGAATTGGCCACTTGTTATTTTGTTTGTTCTTTGACCTTTCTCCTGGTTAGAAATGGAGGACTTGGTCAGTCACCAGGAATACAGTTGATGGCACCTTAGCTTTCTGACCCTTTTAGAGTGAACCTGAAGTCTTGAGAATATAGTGTTGCAAAGCCACTCTGTGACCTTTGGGAATGTCCAGATTTTAGATTTCTAGGCACAGCTAAATTTAGTTAACAATCAAGACTGTGAATTTTAAACAGAAACCTGGGGCGGAGGTGGGGGCTGTTTCTGATTTTCTTACAGGTTCAGTGCACTTGCCTGGAGAATTGAAAGGATGAAACTGCAGGATGAGACTGCATCCAGGGAGTGGAGATGATGCTACAAGGCTCCCAAGGTTGAGGTCTGAAATTCCCCACACCCACCCTACTCAACACTGCCAGTTTGCCTGCTCCTGGGCAGGCTTTGGGATCCTTGAGACTGTGGGGCGTCAGAACCCTGGGGCCAATGACTGCAGCTTCCAGACTCCACAGAGATGACACTTTGACTATGAGAGGTAGCCAACTTTCCTTGGCCCTGCCAACCTGCTGCTCCCAGGCACTGCCACCAGCTCAGCCTCAACTGTGAAATACTTGTGCCCTAACTCGTCATCCTAGCCAAACCTGAGCAACTGACCTCCATCCAGAGGTAGGTGGATCCCTACAACTGGCCAGCCCTGTTATGATGTCCCATGTCTTTGCAAGGAAATTAACCTACCTGTCATTTATACCCTTTGCCTTTGAAAAGCTAAAAGGCAATCTAATACTGATTCAAAGGTGGCTTTGTACTTTTACATCACCTTCTTGGTACTGTAGGGCTAAGGAAGTTGCTTGCTCCTTACGAGGTTCCCTTAGATGTTTACAGGCACTGACTTAACACAATTTAATGAGACCCTGAAAAAAAGGTGCATTAAAGGTAACAGAATACAAGTAACAAAACTAGCCTGTTGCCTGAAACAGGAGAACTTAAGGGGACATTTACAGCCGTAAATATCCCACTTTAAATGAAATAATGGTATTTTTCTATTCTAACATGGTTACAACTCAGGAAGAGTTTGGGGAGGAGGAAGAGCATTCAGGAGCTGGGCAGATGTTCTCAGGACACGCCTCTTTCAAAACAGGGAACCTAGTGTCAGCTAACTTCATTAGGCCTTCTGCTTAGACTTCTTCAGGACCTGTCAGTCAAAAACAGAATTTAAAAACTAAATCAAAACCAAGGAATTGGGGAAATAAAAAACATTAGTGTGGATTTGGGGTGCCCATGAAGCTATATACAGTAAGATACATGCTCCCTTTGGAATACACAGTACTTTATTTAGAAGACTAGACAGCTTTAATATTTGGAAAATGAAAGAAATCAGTATAGGATTCATTACTATGTGGAGTGACAAAGGCTGAGAATTCCTAATGGAGACTGTTTTAACAAAAGGATCCTGCTGCTTTCACAGCATCAGCAATGGACTCAACAGCTTCAAAATGCCTGTCTATTCAAAGATAAGGTGGATTTCCCCCACATAAGCAACAATTAACAAGTGTGCTTTAGCTGTGTATTAAAGCAAAAATGTCAGAAGGTCAAAGAGAAATCTTACCTTACAAGCTTAGGCTACGACAGAAAAACTGAGACAAAGCCTCAGTCTTTACAGGAAGGTGTCTTGTCTTAAGTTTGTTTTGGTAATTAAATGAAAAGGCTGTGTGTGAACTGCACACACATTTAGGGTCTTAGTGTGCTCAAATGAAAGGAAGAGTTCAAATTGAATTCTACTGTGAAATTCCATTTAAAATATGCTAAGTATAGATTCTTTAGTTGTAAATTAAAATTTCAGCTTGAAAGTTTTAGATGGTCCCTAAGCTTTTAGAAGTCCTTAAAACCAGAAAACAAGTATGAAATTTGTAAAGTTGTAAATATTTAAAGATGTGTTATTAACATGCTAATAAATGCTTCTGTTGAAG